ACCTAAGTGCCCATCAAGGGACGAATGGATAAAGAAGCTGTGGTATATATACACAATGGAATACTACTCAGCCATAAGAAACGATGAAATCCAGGCATTTGTGACAACATGGATGGACATTGAGGGTATTATGCAAAGTGAAATAAGTCAGAGGGAGAAGGTCAAATACCATATGATTTCCTTCATTAAGTAGAAGATAATAACAACAATAAACAAACACATAGAGACAGAGATTGGATTGGTGGTTACCAGAGGGGAAGGGGCGAGGGAGGAGGGCAAAAGGGATAATTCGGCACATGTGTGTGGTGATGGGTTGTAATTAGTATTTGGGTGGAGAACGTGATGTAATCTATGCAGAAATAGAAGTATAATGATGTACAGCTGAAATTTATACAATGTTATAAACCAATGTTATTGCAATAAACAAAAAATAAAAAAAATAAATGTATATGTAAATAAACCGCAGAATTTTCAAAAATTAAATAAATAAATAGTAGTCATCTTAAAAAAAGAAAAAGACAAGCCAAAGACAAGGAGAAAATGTTTATAAACCATGTATCTGACAAAGGACTCACATCTAGAATATAAAAAGAGTTCTTAAAAGTCAGCAGTACAAACAATCCAATTAGAAAATGTATAGAAAACATGAAGAGACATTTCACCAAAGAATTTATACAGATGGCAAATAAGCACGTGAAAAGATATTCAACATCATTAGTGATTAGGGAAATGCAAATTCAAGCCACAATGAGATATTGCTACACATCTACCAAAATGTCTAAAACTAAAAACAGGGACAACTCCAAATAGTGGCACAAATGTGGAGAAACTGAATCACTCATACATTGCTGGTGGGAATAAGAAATGGTACAATCACTCTGGAACACTTTGGTAGTTTCTTAAAAAAACTGAATGTGCAATTACCATATGACCCAGCAATTGTACTCCTTGGCATTTGCCCCAGAGAAATGAAAACTTATGTTCACACAAAAACCTCTATATGAATGTTTATCGCAGCTTTATCTGTAACAAACAGAAACTGGAAAACACCCAGGTGTACTTCAACAGGTAAATGGTTAAACTGTGGTACATTCATATCATGGACTGCTACTCAGCAATAAAACGGAACTATCGATATATGCAACAACCTGGAGGAATCTCCAGAGAGTTATGCTAAGTGAAAAGAGTCAATCCCAAAGGTTATACACTGTTGATTCCATTTGAATAACATTCTTGAATAGAGAAAATTATAGAAATGGACACCAGATTAGTGCTTGCCACAAGTTAAGGAGAGGGTGGGAGTGGGAGGGAAGTGAGTGTGGCTATAAAAGGGCAACATGAGGTGATAGAAACGTTCTGTATCTTGATTACATCAATGTCACTGTCCTAGTTATCATATTGTACTATAGGTTTGCAACATGTCATCACTGGGGGAAACTGGGTAAAGGGCATGTGGGAGCTCTCTGTACCATTTCTCACAACTGCATGTCAGTCACAATTAACTCAAAGTAAAAAGTTTAATAACAACAACAAAACTTGGCTGCCGGAGATCCTACAAGATAGAATTAGCTGTCATCTAGCGTGTATGACTTAATCATTGCTCTTTTAGGAAGCAAAAAGTTAGACCAAGTGACCAAGGGAACTTATCATAGGTCCTTCATAGTACTATGATTTCTTCACACCACAGACTGGTATACTGGGAAATATAATGTGTTTATTCTATTTATATATATAATAATATATAACATGTTTAATATATAATATTAATAGTCTTTTAAAAAAATAAGATGGGTTAAATTTAATCATAAAGCCTATGAAATGTGACTTTCCAATTGCTGAATGAAAATTAATTTATACCCACTTCCATATTACATAGATAAAATAAGGCTTCCTCTTGAAATTTTTATAAGTATATTGCATACCAAGACTCACCTGCTCTTCTCTGTCTTAATTCTTTTAACATTCAATTTCCAAGTAACAAACGATTTATTAAGTCTGAAAGGGAAAGGAAAAACACTTATTATTATATTCATAAATCATATATTTATATGGAATAAATTTAGTAAATTTATGGTAATACTAGAAAATTGTCTAGAATATGTTTCATTCATCTTGAGTTACCTAAAGTAAATACTAAACCATATCACTTTTCTCCCGAACTACCAACAGAATATAGAGCAAAAAGCAAATGTAAGTAGAAGTCATTACAATTCTCAGAGAGACATAATTAATTTAGTTGCAACATTCCAATAAATATTAAAACTATAAAAATATATTCTTTTCCTTTATACATTTATTGGCTTACTATTTTTAAAAGAGACTCATATTTCAAGAAGCGACAAGATTCGATATTCAGTGATAATGAAAAGATACATTGATAAGAAATCATCGTATAGTGGTAAGTAAAAAATTAAGATAAAGTATGTCATTTTGATATTATTTCATACTTATGTTTTTTTAAAAAAAGATGCATTTGTAATTTTAAAAACTCAAAAGACCTACATGAGAAGAAATTGAAAAGTTTCCCTGCTGACTACCCATCATCCTTAACTTTCACACATGAAATAGACATGTTCAATTGTTTCTGCAAATCTCCCTCAACTTCTCTAAGTGAATATTGCCGCCTACTTTACGCACTTGTGGGACTAGTCTAGAGCCATATCACAATCTCTCCCTCAGTAACTTTTCCATCTTGATGAAAATAATCACTCTTAAATAAACACTGAGATGTGATTCTTGTTTGCCAAAGTGAGATTCTTTATGTAGTGGGAAAGAGCCAATGGGGAGGGAAGAATGGTGGGGAAAAGACCGCCCAATAGACCAACCAACCAGTCAGTCTTAGTGACGTCACTGGCTGATTTTGAATCAGAGAAGACGGAAGGCGGCCTGGAGCCATCCAAGCAGCTCAAACAGAATTCCGTGATGTCATTCAAACAGGCACAGCGGAGGCCTTAGAAATCAGAAACGCCTCAGAGAAATCTAGTAACTTGCCCTTAAATCAGGCTCCAAAGAGGCATTCCGACTAAATTCCTATCTCAGTTTAGTCCAGAGCCATAGAGACATGGGACCTCAGGACTCTAGAAGATCCCTGGAAATCCAGAAGGGATTTTCCCCCCAGGAATCAGAGGGGACCCAGTGATGGTGTAATGGGTGCACCAGGCCACAGACGCTAATCCTCCAGCAAGTCTCATGAGGCAAAAACCTAACGATGATGCTCAAGTCATCCCTGCACCGTATATGTGGCATCGCCACCTTAAGTCATTAGCACTTCATATTTATCTTATTTTCCTATTTGCAATGTTACTTGTTACAATATTAGTGATAAAAATGTCATAAAATATATTAAAAATTAAAAAAATCTGCAGGTTTTAAACTAAAATTTGACATATTTTTCTTAACATGAATAAAGAAAATGAATCATTTTGACTGTGGACTTACTGATGCCAAATGTCATATAAAAAGATGATTCTTGTCCAAGTTCCTAACTGGGTTTCAAAAGTTCAATCAATGAAAATTATTTAGAGCAGAAGCGACCCTGAGGATTTATTATAAGGCAAGGACAACAGTGGGAAGTCCAACATTGACAGAGTTTAAATAAATAGCTATAGAAAATAATACTTTGGATAGTAACGTAAACTGATAATCCAGAATCAAAAACATCTACCGTCACCGTTGGTGCCTAATTTACAGGGATGCAACTTCAAATGTATTCTTGATCTACACTGCATGTGACTTAGGTTCCAGACAATAACAGAACCAGCTTCATTTCCTACCACCCTCTTCAATTCTTCAGTCACACCATTTCCACCTTCTAATACACACTAAACTTGTTCCTGCCTCAAAATTTTCGAACTTGCTATAGTCTCTCTCTGAAATTATTCTCTCTCAAGACCCCACATGGATGTGTCCTTTTCATCGTTTGGGTCTCTGCTTAAATACTGCACCTCTGGCCATCCTAACTAAAGGAGCAACACACATACATGTCTGTTTTATTATCTCTCTGGCCTTTGTCACAATCTGATATTATCTTATTTATTTACTTATTATCTCTCTCTCTCCATTAGAATGTAAGTCCTATAGGATCAGAGACCTTGTACTTTTTTTTACATAGTTGTATTGCCTGTGCCCATAACAGTGGAACAGAACAGGTACACAGTAAGTATTTGTTCAGTAAGTGAATAACTTTTCTGCCAAAAATTCGATTCACTTCTCTTAGAGGAGGGGCAGGAGGAGGGCAAAAGGGAGGATTAGGCACATGTGTGTGGTGATGGATTGTAATTAGTATTTGTATGGTGAACAGGATGTAATCAATGCAGAAATAGAAGCATAATGATGTATGCCTGAAATTTATACAATGTTACAAACCAGTGTTACTGCAAGAAAAAAATTAAAAAAAAAAAGAAAAGTTCCTCAGGTTCTTAGTTATTTCAACTATTTATCGTAATAAATGTAATAATTAAAAATATTATTTCTCTCTCTTCCTAGTCGGCAGCAGATAGCAGCAGACCACAAGAAAAGACAGACATCAGAGAGAAAACAAAAAAATTATAAAACTAGACACAAACACTGAAAGAACAACAGGCTGGGACTACTTTGGGAAGAATGAGAGTCCCAGGAATCCTGATCGGATGTAATGTAGTGTAACGTAACTTAGAACCAGATAACTTTTAAATGATGACCTTGAATCAACAAGCTGCCCCCAGCTCCCTAATTCTATTTTCCTTCATAACATTTCATCTCTACCTGACATTTCACAAATTTATGTGTTTTTTAATCACCTCTCACCCACTATAATCTAAGTTCTTTGAGAGCAACACAATTGTTTGATTTGTTCAATACAGTATCTCTAGCATCTAGAATAACTCCTGGTTCTTAGCAGACTTCAATAAATATTCATTTAATGAATAAATGCATGAAAAACAAAGATAAATTAAGGTAATTATAGTCAACTTAAGTTTGCTTGACTATAAAATATATTTTTCTTACAATATTTATCCAAAAAGATTAAAATTAAGAGTTTTAATACTTAAGTGGGTAAGCTTCCTTAATATAAAAGATTTTTATGGAATACCCCATTCCCTCTCTAATTCCCCATAAAAATGACATTACTGTAGTAGAACTCAGATGTCATCCAGGCAGTTGCTATTTCAACAGGATCATACTACAAATTATTGATTTCATTTTCATTCATCTCACCGAAAATTGTAAAATATCTTGAATGGCTGTAATAAATAGTAACATCTTCTTTCTAATAGCCATTCCAAAGTAGGTACAAGTTCTATTTCTTCTACATCACCTATTTTAATAACCTGCAAATATAAAGCACAAAAACATGACTTTCTTTCTTTAAAAAAATGTGCTATTTTCAAGAAATTAAGAAAACCTGTATTTGGCTCATAACTACTAGCTTTCATTATTAAGCTTTTTCCATACCTGACCTCCACCACTTCATCTACGCCCAAACTTGATTTCCCTTCACACACTGCTTCTATCCTTGCCATTTCTGAATGCTATTTCTTGTGCTCCAATAGAGAGAGGACAAGAGAAACTTCTTCCTCACCCTGAGATACTTTTCACAAACAGCTATTCATTTTTTGAGACTCATAATTTTCACATTTTCTGTAAAAGTAATATTTATGAACTTAATTTTTGTGTGTGTGTGTGTGTGTGTGAGGAAGATCAGCCCTGAGCTAACAGCCAATGCCAATCCTCCTCTTTTTGCTGAGGAAGACTGGCCCTGCGCTAACATCTGTGCCCATCTTCCTCCACTTTATATGGGACGCCACCACAGCACGGCTTGACAAGCGGTGCGTCGGTGCATGCCTGGGATCCGAACCTGTGAACCCCGGGCCGCTGAAGCAGAGCATGCGCACTTAGCCACTGCACCACGGCGCCGGCCCCTGAACTTAATTTTAACTACAGCAATGTAGTAGTTCAAAAGTGGTTAATAATCCCGCTACCCAGACACCCCATTTTGACATTCAAAGCTCACAGGCCCTTCACCATGAATTCTCTCTCTTTTCAAGAGTCCCTCTCCCCCATCCAAATGTTAACATTTTCTTAAATTTCTTCCATAAATAAAAGTATGCCTATATCAGCACATATGTATTTATGTGCATATTTTTGTTTATATAGAAGTCATTCCTTTCATTTTCAGTTGATAATGCGTATTAGAGATATTTCCATATCTGCGTATACTTCATTCAGACGTGGTCCTGCCCAGGTATACTGAAAGTTTTGTTGGGAGGCTGGGAGCGCTGAGGAAGGCAAACAGGCGTTAAACAAAGTGCCATTAATAGTATAATGGGGGATTTCTACATCTGCCAATGAAGTGTCTGATAAATCTGAGAAAACACTCTTTTATTAATACTTGCCAGCAAATGCCTGTTGTCTAGTTCTTTCTCAAAAAAGTTACACTAAATATTAATACAGTACTTGAGAGGTAAAAAAAAATTCTTAAAATTGAATCTTCAAACCTAAATCTCTACAACAAAGAAAAAAAAAATCACTATTAAATAACTTTCTCCCAAGGAAGCTCTTAAGCATAAACTGTTCCTCAAGTGACCAGGTTTGTCTAAAACATACAAAGATAAATTTATCCAGCTGAATTCTAAATTGGGTAATATTTTCCCATTATGATTCTTAAAGCTGAAAACATCCATTGTGTTTTACCTTTGAGACAAATGAAGCAGTAATAATCCAAAATTCTTTGCAATGTCTAGCTCTGTAGGCAGAGACTACCTGAAGATCATATGGATTATAAAGGACTTTAGGATTTTTCCGAGGAAGGCAATATACAAATTCTCCATCATCTTGCAAAGGTTCCTGAGGTTAAAAAATATTTTTAATTAACTTGACCAAATTAAGTAATAAAATGGCTGAATAGATTACTCTGTAAATTGAAACAATTTTAATATAGATTAAAAATAATACCATTGAGGAAAGCTAACATCAAATTGGGTCTAATCAAAGTTCAAGATCAATCTTATAAAAGATTTAATATATTTAATTTTCATTCTTATACGTAATGTGGTTATAAAACATTCATGAAGGGGCCAGCCTGGTGGCGCAGCGGTTAAGTGCGCGCGCTCCGCTTTGGCAGCCTGGGGTTCGCAGGATCGGGCCCCGGGCGCGCACCGATGCACCGCTTGTCAAGCCACGCTGTGGTGGCGTCCCATATAAAGTAGAGGAAGATGGGCACAGATGTTAACTCAGGGCCAATCTTCTTCAGCAAAAAGAGGAGGATTGGCAAAGGATGTTAGCTCAGGGCTGATCTTCCTCACAAAAAAGAAAAAAAAATTCATGAAAATTGATCTATATGCTTACTAATACATGACGATTAATCTAAAAAACTTGACAACAACATACCTTTTACATATATCCTGCACTTTCAGTAAATCTGTCTGCCAACACCAGAAGCCTTTTGAGCATATTAAATTTACCATTTATTTTGATAATGAAGGTGGTTTAGTATTATAATAACAATAGCTAATATTTGTTAAGTAATAAATATTTATAAGTAATAAGTGTTTCACATACATTATCTTTACAACCACAAGAGTTTAATTTCTTAAATTTAATCTCTTGAATTTAAGATTAAATTTTGATCTTTTTAATCTCACTAAAAAGATGCAGGAATTATATTTTGAGAAGTTAGGTAATTTGAGAAAAGTCACGAAGTCAGAAAAAGGCAAAGTAGGAATGTGAATACAAGTCTGACTTTAAACCCATGTTCTGAGTTACTACAGTAAACTGTAATGCCTCTTCCTTATTTACATGGTATTATTGAGAAATCAGTCATTCCACATTAAGAAAATTTTTTAAGTGAAATTTATTTCTTTTAGCTTTGAAACTTTTATGGATGAAAACTCTATAAGAAAGTTTAATTTAATCTTTTCTGGATAATTAAATTTTATTACAAAGAATCATTTAGTATTCTTATCATAATTTAGTAATGCTTTCAGAAGCTGTTGATTTGAGTAACTAAACAGTTCCTAATCACTGTAATTTTAAATTTTGGAACCAGTTTTATTTTATTTTTAAATTTTTCTCTTCCTTGAAGACTGTTGTTTCTTCCCAATTGTCTCAGCTGTTTCCCTTTCCTATTTTGACTCCTGATATAATGTGTACCTAGAAACCTTAAAAATCAAATTTAAAAGCTGCGAATAAAATGGAATAAACAAGCTCTGAGTGATGACTTGTGTAGCACATGGGCTTTGTTACAGTTATTTGGCCACTTGAAGCATTTTTGTTCTAAATTATGCTTCCAAAAAGTTGAGGTTCTTAGAAATTTAATGTAGACACAGAAACTAAATGGGTCATAGATGTAATTAAATAATCCAATTATCGAAGCATAAGAATAATATGTTCCAATTAAATTATTCTTTTTCAATTAAAAACAAGTGTCTTTTCATATTATCAATCCTTTCTTCACATACAAATGAAACATACCTTATTAGAGAGTCCAGGGATATTAAGTTCATGTACAACTATGGTTTTTTTTTTTTTAACTACCATGCCCAGTATCTGCCAGGGCCAATGCCACATGCATTGTCTCATTTAATTTTCACAGCTCTCTAAGGTAAGTGCTATTATCTCCATTTCAAGGTCAAAGAAACTAAAACTCAGAGAGGTTAGGAACTTGCCCAAAATAACACAGTGAGCATATAAATAGAGATTGAAAGCTAAGTGAATCTGATTCCATTATGTAGGTACTTTCCTTTACATTAACGCTGCCTCCGAACAATGATCAAAAGACCATTTATCCTCATGGTAACAGTCTAGAGCAGAGATCAGCAAACTATGGCCAAGACCAGGTGCCTATTTTTGTAAATAAAGTTTTATTGGAACACAGCCACATCCATTTGCTAATGTATTGTCTATTGCTGCTCTTGCACTACAATGACAGAGTTGAGTAATTGCAACAAAGATCATATAGCTTGCAAAGCCTAAGATATTTATTATCTGGTCCTTTTCAGGAAAAGTTTGCTGACATGTGGTCTAGAACAGTGGTTCTCAATCGTGCATCAGAATCACCTGGAGGGCTCAATAAAATACAAATTGCTGGGCTCCACCCCCAGAGTTTCTGATTCAGAAGGTCTGGGGTGGAGATGAGAATATGTATTTCTAGTAAGTTCCAAGGTGATGCTGATGCTGCTTGCCTGGGGACTGTACTTTGAGAATCCCTGATCTAAAAGTATGAAGAGATAATCCTGCTCGATCTTAGATCACCTGTAAGAAATGAGGTCACAGGAGGAAGATTTTAGTTCTTATCACAGCTTATACCCTCTAGTCGTGTGAGCTTGGACAAGATAAAATTTCTCTGAAGACGCTAATGGGTAAGAAGAAAATGGAAAGGAGAAGGAAATACAGAGATGATGAGACAGAAAATCAGGTACCAAGGAGTGAGAGAGTGAGAAGGATAGAATATTATAAAAGTACATTAGGATTTCTTTTAAAATCACAAAAAACTGATAAACAGGAACATAAGAAGAGATTCAAAGTTCAGACAAATGTCTTATCTGTTTGCTGTTCTTTAAATAAGTGAAATGAAATGATGTAAAACACTTTTTATAAGCATTTGCCATGAAACAATGATTGTAATTTGATATTAATTTAATAATGTCCAATTTTGACATAATATCTGAAATGAATGAAATAAAAATTAAGGTACAGTTTCAAATATTAATTTTTATATTACAAAAATGAGTCAAATAGAATAATACCTTTAGAATAATCTTCTGAATTGCAGTTTTAGAACTTTCATATTCCAAATTGTGCTGCGGTAATATCGTTTGCCAACCCAACTTTTCTCTTAGTCTAATAATATGTCTTATCACATCATCATCTTTTGGTTCTGGTTTAGAACATTAAAAAAAAAAAAAGATCCAATATAAGTGTGAATATGGGCATCACTTTAGGATAATGTATAATATTTCAATTATTTCTACAGAGAAAAAAATGTAAATGGTAACTTATGCTTAAAGTTTACACAAAGACTATAATTGGAGAAGAAAATATAGCTTAAAATTTAATTTTAACAGAAGCTGGAAAGAAGGAATAATATTTTTCCATTTAAGAAAGCAATCACAAAAGACCTAATTCCACAGTTACACAGGTGGTTAGCAAGAGAAGACACTGGAATGGGAGCCAGTTAGAAGGCTTTCCTAAATAAAGCCCTAAGCTGGAGTGGAGGCAGTAGGATCAGAAAAGAAGGGACGACTATGCGAGATGGAAATATTCTTCCTAAGGATACCCATCCGGTAGACGCCTTTCAGACCTTATCTTTCTTGATCTCTTAGCAGCCGATGCGTCTCTCCTTGAAACATTCTCGTTTCTTGGCTTTTGTTCACCATGCTCTACAGGTTGTCCTCTTAGCCCTTAACCTTCTTTTCTTGATAAAACAAATCATGGGAGGAGAAGCATACCAAAAGCCATGTTGGCAAAACCAACAATGCTACGAGGTTGTTTGAGATTTCTGGTCCTCCAGAAATCACAAACACCAGCTGATCAAAACAACTCCTTTCCTACGGCTCAAACGAGACTTGAGCTATTATATAAAACAGTGTCAGGGCTAAGAGTAAGCTGCTCTTCAAATTTTGTGCCCTAGGCACTTCACTTGTGTCACCCTAGTCTGGGCCCTGTCAGTTGCTTAAACATGGAAATAAATTAAAAATACTTAATTGAAAAGAAAGCTACTTAATGTTAGGTATAAAAGAGAGAAGGGGAGGTACTGAAAACATTAATACAAGGAGATGGCACAAACTGTGTATGTCCATCCAAGAGGATAAGTAATATTACAGACTCAGATATAAAAATATAAACCTATAGAAATCAAAGTAGCATGGAGTTGGCATACAAAAGAAAAACAGATCAGTAGAATAGATTGGAGTCTAGAGATACGACCATTTTAAAGGAAAATCTAGTAAGTGAAAAAGTATTTCAAATCAATAGAGGAATGACTGTTCATAAATTGTAATGGGAAAGTAGTTAGTAATTTAGAAAAACATGCATTTATATGCAAGCATAAATTATAGATATATTAGAGAAGTAAATGTGGAAAAGCAAATTATAGAAGTATTAGAAGAAAACATGGGAGAATATGTTTATAAACCTGAGGTAGCAAAGGCTTCCTGAAAAACAATCAAAGCAAGTTAAAAGGAAAACGATAATAAATTTGACTTCCTCAAACTTAGCAACTTATACAGAAGGAAAGCCACCATAAACAAAGTTAAAATAGAATTAACAAATTGGGAGAAAATGTTTATAACCTATTTAAGAGGCTAGGGATTAATAGACGAAAAACTTAAAGAATTCTTCCCAATCAATAAGAAATAAACATTTTGATAGAAAGATGAGCAACCAATTTACAGGAAAAGATAAATGGCCAGTAAACATATGAAAAAATGTTCAACCTCACTAGTAATCAGGGAATTACAAATTAAAATGACAATGAAAAAGCCGTTCTCACCCATCAGACTGGCAAAAAATTAAAAGTTGGAAAATGTAAATATTGCGTGTGAGCCCCTGCATACACAAAATAAAGCCATATATTTTATGGATGTATTAGTTATCTATTGATGTGTAAGTAATTGTCCTAAAAATTAAAGGTTTAAAACAATAAATATTTATTATCTCACAGTTTCTACGTGTCAGGAATTCAGAAGGAGCTTAGCTAGGTGGTTCTGGTTCAGAGTTTGTCATGAGGTTGCAATCAAAATGTTGGCCAGGGCTGCAGTCATCTGAAGACTTGGCTGGGACTGAAGGATCGCTTTCCAGGCTAGCTCACTCACGTGGCTATTAGCAGGAGGCTTCATGTTTTCAATACACGGACCTCTCTGCGGGGCTGCTTAAGTGTCACGTGACAGCTGGCTTCCCCAGAGAGTGAGCCAAAGGAGAAAGCAGGAGAAGAGGCCCCGTGCATTTTATGACTTAGCCTTAGAAGTCACACACCATCACTTCTACCATATTCTACTTGTTAGAATTGAGAACTATCACTTCCACTATATTATTTGCTAGAATTGAGTCACTAAGTCTGGCCCTCATTTAAAGGGAGAGGAATACGACTCCACCTTTTGAAGGAAGGAGTGCCAAAGAATATGTGGACAAATTTTTAAAACTACCACAATGGGTAAGTACAAATGTAGGAAAAATATAAAACCATAAATGGAAAAGATAGTCACCAACTTCAACATAGCTGTTAGCTGACCCTAATGGTAACTGAGACAAGAGAACAGGGAAACGAAAAGGTGGGAGTGGCTCTAGCTGCACCTGTACCATTTTACTTTGGTATTTGTTTTCTATTGCTATATAACAAATTACCACAGACTTGGTGTAAGACAATACAAATTTATTATTTCACAATTGCCATGAGTCAGGAGTCTAGCTAGTTTTAGCTGGGTCCTCTGCTCAGGGTCTCAAAGGGCTGAAATCAAGATGTTGGCTGACTATGCCCTCATCGAGGCTCAGCTAAGGAAAGAACTGCCTCCAAGCTCCCATAGGTTTTTGGCAGAATTCATTTCCTCGTGGCTGTGTGACTGAGGTTCCTATTTTCTTGCTAACTGTTGGCGAGGTACTGTTCTCAGCTACTAAGGTCTACTTTGGGTCCTTGCCATGAGGCCCTCCCCACAACATGGCAGTTTGCCCCTTCAGAAGCAGCAGGGTGGCATCCACTACTGTTTCTAGTCCCTTTTAAAGGCTCATCTGATTAGGTCAGGCTTGCCCAGGATAATCTCCCTTTTGATTAACGTGAAGTCAACTGATTAGGGGCCTTAGTTACTTCTCAAAATTGCCAAATAAAATGACATAATCATAGGAATGGTATTCCGTCATATTCACAGGTTCTGCCTGCACGCAGGGGGCGGGGATTATACAAGGTGTGTACAACAGAGGTTGGGACTATTGGTGGGATATTTTAGAATTCTACTCGCTATAGCTTCCTACAAACAAATGATAAAATATTAACATCTGGTAAATCCAGGTAGTGAGTACATGGATATTTGTTAAATCATATTCTCTACTTTTTATATTTGAAATTTATCATAATTTTTTAAAAATCTGTGAAAAAAAACCTAAATACTGAAGTCATTACCAGTCTATGTCTTCACGGGTTTGTGGAAGCTAAATGAAGGGAGCAAATTAAAGAAATTTAATCATTAAAGGATTAGATTGTTATCTGGCAGCCATTAAGCCTAAATTGTTACTCTTTCTTGCACTGATACCAATTTCAAAACACTGCAGAGCAATGTGCCAAATTACTAAGAATTCTTAATGCATAGCAACAGTGATTGTATTTGTGAAATGAGATCCACTGTATTAGTTTTCTGAATGCATCACAAATTTAGTAGCTTAAAACAACACACATTTCTGTGGGTCAGCAGTCTGTATATGGCTTAGCTGGGTCCTCTGTTAGAGTTCTAAAGCCTGCAATCAAGTGTTAGGCGGGGGTTGGATTCTCATTTGGAGGCTCAGTGGGGAAAGGCTCTACTTCCAGGTTGTTGGCTGTAGAAGTCATAGCAGCTTGCTTCTTCAAAGCCGGCAGAGGCGAGGGAGATTCTAGAATGAGTTTGCTAGCAAGATGGAGTCTTACATAATGTACTATAATCACAGAAGTGACAGCCCATCACCTTCACCATGTTCTATTGTTTAGAAGCAGTGACAGGTCCTGCCCACACTCAAGGGGTGGGGATTAGATAACAGCATGAACACCTTCCCATCCATGCAGGTTGTGTGCTATCTGAGGCATTTATAACTTTGAGGATCTTCTTTTTTAAAAAATGAAGCCCATGTAAGGGAGAGGCCCTGAAGTTTAAGCTTCAGTAGCTTAATGATATTTCAGTGAAAAATAGAAAAGTTTCCGTTTTCCTATAAAACTTAAAATAGTAATACAAATAAGAATTTCTGGTATAGAGAAAGTACAAACTGGAAAATGTTAATGGAGGAAAAAAAATCTGTTTCAATGAATTATTTATTTAGGGATTTAAACTCTATGTCAGACAAAGACATAAAATTGTTAAATATAATGATACCATAAAGTTTTACTAAAAGGATAAAACAAAACCATACAACTTTATCTTATTTATAGTTCTATAACCATAATCTTCAGAGATTGTTCTTAATTAAGAGCATAGTCATTGAATAGTCTGTCAATTTTTTAATCTATTAATATTTAGGTTTTCAAAAAGATAAAACATTTTAACAATTTTTTAAGCAACCAAACACATAAAATTCAGTAAGACTGCTGCTTCTAAAATCAGCATTCATCATACGCACACAAAACCACAGAATAATTTGAAAAAGTGTAGTGTCTTCTAAACAAGCTGGGTTAATGATACCACATACCTGTTCTATCAAATGACACAAGCCTTTTCTTCCTCACTTTTGGACAAGCGTGAGTTTGATCCTTTTTTTCCTTTGGTTTCTCTTTCTTCTTATGGGGAACTGGTTCTGGAGCAAGTACATCTTGTTGAGTCCTACTTTCTGGAAGGTAATCTGAAAATACAACCATTATTAGCTGAATAACCAGCATGAGCTATAAATAATACCATGGTAATTCCACATACCAAGCAATATAGTTGATCATCATATCATTATAGTATTTACAGGTACAGGCTCTGAGTCAAATCGCCTTGGTTACAAGCTCAATTACAAGCTTTACCACTCACAGCTCTGTGATTTACTTTGTAAGTTACCTATCTGCCTTACTTTACTCACCTTTGAAATGAGGACTGTTATAGTAAGAACCTTGAAGAGTGTTACAAGGATTAAATTAGTTAATACTTTTAAAGCTTATAATAAGAGCTTACTCAGGAAAATGTTAGTGACTGATTTTATTGTTACAATTAATCTTTAAAATGTGAATCCTCATGTCGGGGAGAGGCTGGGGGATGAGAGAAAGAAAGGAAAGCAGGACCGTTCAGGAGACTGATCACAATGAGAAAATATGAGCTTCCGTGGAAAGTTTGTGTGAAATAATTGTGAAAAGCGTCCTTTATCTTTAACGTCTATTCTAAGAGTTTCTCCCACCCCCTTGCCTTATTGAAAGCTGGTTATTTCCTAAAGACATCACTAACATGCAACCCTCTCAAGTAGGGGTTGTTTATACTCCGATAACCCATATACCTCAAGACTGGAAAGTGGGCTTGCTCCCCATTTATCACTTTCAAAACATTACAACTTGCCCTCTTTAAAAAAAATCCTATGTCTCAGAATCTCATGCCTTTTCATTATATTGTACTCTTCCAATCTTCACTGACATCCACCAATTGCCTAGTCACTCAATTAATCTGGAACCCTGGCTCCAGGAAGGACCTACTTTCTCCATATCAAATCTGCCATCATTCTGGAAGACTTTAGTGTTCCTGAATTCAGACCTGTCTGATACCATGTCCTCCTCCCCCACTTTCTAGCCATCCTCTCATCTCTAGTCCACCTCAATCAACCACTCCCAAGATCACATCCTAGTGCTTGTCATCATTGGCCTCCATCCTTCCAGCTTGCTTAATATTCCCAACATCACCGTTTTTGGACCTCATTGGTACCCCCAGTTCATTGTCCCATTACTTTCTTACAATCCATCATCCTTCTATTTTTTTTTTCATCTTTCTCTTTATCCACCTGAGATCATGTTGTCTTTCAACATCACTCTTGCCAATATCCTAAACCCTATTTTTCTTTTGGTCTCACCTGTATGGCAAAACACCAGCCAGCCATGGATGAACCCAACTCTATGTGCTCTGTTTCTACATCCGCACAGCCCAGTGGTGTTAGAGAAAGGCCCACAAATGGGTGGAGTGGTAACCCCCCAAATGC